AATCTAGTCACCTTGGTTACCTATTTCAGAATTAACAAGACTTAATACAAAAAAAATCATTATATTTAGTGATATGCTGCTAAAGGTTTAACAATCAGCTCTCCAGGGTAAGAAAAAGGCAGTGATTTATAGCATTTACGTACTTCCACCATGGCTGATTTCAGTCAGTAGACACCTTCACATAGGGAATTGGGAAGGAGTGAGCAGTAGTAAACCATTATTTTTCTTTTGTTACCTGTGCCTTTGGTATCATATCCAAGAAATTATTGCCAAATCCAATGTCCTGAAGCTCATGTTTTCTTCTAAGAAAGTTTTATTGTTTTAGTTCTTATTTAAGCCCTTGATTCATTTGCCTTAATTTTTGTATATGGTTTAGGTAAGAGTCCAACTTTATTCTTTTGCATGTGCGTATTCAGTTTTCCTAGTAGTTCCATTTGTTGAAAAGACTGTCCTTTCCTCTGTTGAACGGTCTTGACACTGTTGTCAAATATGTTGAGGTATTTTCCTTCTAGTCCTGGTTTGTTGAGTGTTTATATCATGAAACGATGTTGCATTTTGTTAAAGTTTTTTCTGCATCAGTTGAGATGATCATGTGGTTTTCGTTCATCCTGTTCATGTGGCATATTACATTGATCAGTTTTCATATGTCGAACCATCCTTGCGTTTCAGAAATAAATCTGACTTGGTCATAGTGTATGTAATCCTCTTAATATACTGCTGAATTTGGTTTGCTAGAATTCGTTGAGGATTTTTTATCAGTGTTCATCAGGGATATTAGTTTATAGTTTTCTTGTAGTGTCTTTGTCTAGCTTTGGTATCGTTAATGCTGGCCTCATAAAATGACTTAGAAAATGTTCTTTCCTCTGATTTTGGGGGAAAAGTTTGAGAGTATTGGTATTAGTTCTTTAAATGTTTGGTATAATTCACCAGTTAAGCCATCAAGTTGAGTTTTCCTTTATTGAGAGATTCTTGATTATTGAGCAATCTCATTAGTAATAATTGGTCTATTCACACTTTTTATTTCTGACTTAGTCTTCATCTGTTTTATGCTTCTAGTAATTAGTCCATTTCATTTAAGTTATCCAAGTTTTTGGCATAGAGTTGTTTATAGAACTCTCTTATAATCTTTTTTATTTCTGTAGAATTAGTAATGTCTACACTTTCACATTTAATTTTTGTAATTTGTGTCTTCTCTCTTTTTCTTAGTCCATCTAGCTAAAGGTTTTCCAACATTTTTTATCTTTTTGTAGAACCAACTTTTGGTTTTATTGATTTTTCTGTATATTTTTTCTATTCTGTATTTTATCTCTGCTGTCATCTTTATTATTTCCTTCTTTCTGCTAGGTTTGGGTTCAGTTTGTTCTTCTTTTCTAGTTCCTTAAGTTGTAAAGTTACATTGTTAATTTGAGATTTTTTTTCTAAGGTGTTTATAGCTATATATTTCCTCCTTAGCACTGCTTTTGCTAATCCATAAGTTTTGGTATGCTGTGTTTTTGTTTTCTGTTTTCTAATTTCCCTTGTGATTTTTTTCTTTGATCAGTTGGCTGTTTAAAAGTGTGTTGTTTAATATCCAAAATTTTGTGAATTTTCCAGTTTGTTTGTTTTTTTGTTATTGATTTCTAACTTCATCCCATTGTGGCCAAAGAAGATACTTTGTATAATATCTATATTTGAAAATATATTGAGATTTAATCTATGGCCTAGCATATGGTCTGTCCTGAAAAATGTCCCATGTGCACTTAAGAAGAATGTATATTCTTCATACTGGATAAATGGTCTTTATACTCGTATGTCTGTTAGGTGTAGTTGGTTTATTGTGCTAAGTTCTGTCTGGTTGTCCAGTTGATTATTGCGAGTAGGGCATTGCAGTTCTCAGTTATTATCTTACAACTGCCTATTTTCTCCCTTCAGTTATGACAGTTTTTGCTTTATGTGTTTTGATGGTATGTTGTCAGATGCATAAATGTTTTTTGTTATAGCCTCTTGCCCTCTTGAACCTTTTATTTGTTAATATATAATCTCCTTTGTCTCTTGTAACCATTTTGATTTAAAGTTTGATATTTTGTTGGATATTAGTCAAGCCACCCTGCTTTCTTTATTTGCATGGAATGTCTTTTTTCATCTTTGATTTTGAAACTTTTCACATCTGGATCTAACGTGATTCCCTTGTTAACATATAGTTGGATCATGTTCTTTTATACATTCTGCTAATCTCTGTCATTTGGTTGGAAAGTTTCATCATTTCCATTTAAAATAATTACTAAAAAGGAGGGGCTTACTTCTGTCATTGAACTATTTGTTTTCTATATGCCTTATAGCTTTTTATTCCTCATTTCCTGCATTCCTGCCTTCTTTTGTGTTTATAGTTGATTGTTTATAGTCAAATGTTTAAATTCCTTTCTCATTTCCTTTTGTATATATTCTATAGCTATTGGGTTGTCGGAAAAGTCATGACATGTTTTTCTGTTTTTCGTTGCAAAAATGAGTCATGACTTTCCCGACACCCAATATTTTCTTTGCAGTTACCATGGAGATTACATTTTAAAGTTTTAGCACACTAATTGAATTTATACCATTTTAACTTCAGTAACATACAAAAACTCTGCTTCTTTACAGCTTTATCCCCACTCCTTTCAGTTGTTGATGTAACAAAATTGCATCTTCATATATTGTGTGCCCAGAAACATAAACTAATAATTCTTTTAAATGCATTAGTCTCTTAAATTTTATAGAAAACAATATTTGGGGTTACAAACCAAAGTTCCATTAATAGCTAGCTTTTATACTAGTAATTGTTTTTTCCTCTAAATGTATTAGTCTCTTAAATCATACAGAAACAAAAATTGCAGTTACAAACCACTGTTAAAACAATACTGCCATTATAATTGCCCATGTATTTACCTTTATTAAGATCTTTATTTCTTTATATAGCTTCATGTTACTGTCTTCTGTCATATCATTTCACCTTGAGGACTTCCTTGACCTTTTTTTTTTTTTTCAGGGCAGATCTAGTGGTAGCAAACTCCCTTAGCTTTTGTTTATCTGGGAATGTCTTAATTTTTCCCTCTCTTTTGAACAACGGTTTTCCCAGATATAAGATTCTTGGTTGACAGTTTTTTCTTTTAGCACTTTGAATATATCTACCCACTATTTTCTCCATAGTTTCTGAAGAGAAGTCTGCTAATATCCTTATTTAGGATCCCTTGTATGTAATGATTCACTTCTCTTTCTGCATTCAAGATTCTGTGTGTGAATGTCTTTTAGTCATCTCATTTGGAGTTTGTTAAGCTTCTTGGATGTTGATATTTATGTCCTTGGTCAAATTTGAGAAGTTTTGAACCATTGTTTCTACAAATATTCTCTGTGCCCTTTCTCTCTTCTCCTTTTGCAGCTCCTAAAATATGTGTATTTGTTGGTTGTCTTGAAGGTGCCCCACAGGTCCCATCGGCTCTGTTTGCTTTTCTTTATTCTTTTTTAATTTCTGTTCCGCAGACAAAATAATTTCAATTGTCTGGTCTTCAAGTTCACTGATTCTTTCTTCTTCCTGCTCATATCTGATTTTTTAATTGCTCTACTGAGTTTTTTATTTCAGTTTTTGTACTTTTCAGTTCCAGAATTTCATTTTAGTTTCTTTTTATGATTTTTATCACTTGAATGATATTTCCATTTTGTTCATGCATCATTTTCTTGATTTCTGTGTATAGTATCTTTGACAGTTCTTTCAATTACAGTTGACATTCAATATCATATTAGTTTCAGGTGTACAGCATAGTAATTAGACATTTATATAACTTCAGAAGTGACCTCCCTGATAAGTCTAGTATTCACCTGATACCATACATAGTTACTACAATATTTTTTGCTATATTTCCTCTGCTGTACTTTATATGCTTGTGACTATTTTGTAATTGCCAATTTGTACTTTTAAAGACAGTGGGGTTTTTTTTTTAAAGCCTTTGTCTGGAGATCTGCTATCAGATCTTTTTCAAGAACAGTTTCTGTTGATTTCCGCCCCCTCTCAGCCAGCCATACTTTACTGTTTTCTTTATATTCTTTGGGATTTTTTGTTGAACGCTGGGCATTTGAATCTAATAATGTAGTAGCTTTGTAAGTCAGATTGTCTCCTTTCCCCGGGATTTGCTGTGTTTTGTCACTTCTATCATTGTTGTTGGTAGTGGTGGTGGTGGTTGTCTCTGTGCCAAGGATCAGCCTGAGGTGTAAATGTAAAGCCTTCTAATGGCTTTTCTGAGCCTTTCTCTGGTTATGCATAGCCACTTTATAATTTTCCCCATATATGTAATTGTTTTTGCATGTCTGGCTGTCAAAATGGGGGAAAGTGAAAAACGACGGATAAAAAAGGGTGCTGGCTCTTTAAATATCCTGAAAGTCACTTTATTCTAATAAAAAAAGGACTTGCAACAATGAGAGAAGGTACAACAGCAGTGGCCGCCCTCCTCTTTTTGTCTTCACCTCTATGATGAGAAGCAGCAGTCAATGATCAGAGCACAGATACCTGATATTTAAAAGACAGGATCCTTCTTACCCACCCTGGTTCCATGTGCAAGCTGCTCCAGGAACACACGCACACACATCTCGCAGAGTGGAGGACGGCTTGCTGCTTCTATGCCCTGAAATTGATGAAAACTAACCACAACTTACTGTCTGTGCATTCCGCTGGAAGTTACAAGCCTTCACCAGACTCCAGAATTCCAGCATAGTTAGTTACATCAGACAGATTGATTCTGTTGCCTAGGTGGGGAGACAGATTCCTGGTGCTTCTTACTCTGCAATCTTCCAAGAATCCTCTTTAACCTTATCTTAATTTCTATATTGAGTCACTTTGTAAAGTATATTAAGTAGCAAGACCTCTGTATTAATATAGGGTAGAAATACTCTTATTAAAATATAATAGCTCTTTTCTTACTTCAGTTTGTATTTAAGAACTACATTAAATGCACTTGCTATATGTATGGTAATTTTTGGCATTTTACTTTTGACAGGTGGTTTTGGAATGTATGCTTAAAAAAGACCTCATTTATAATAAGGTCACCCCAACATTTCACCACTGGAAGATTGATGACAAGAAATTTGGCCTTACCTTTCAAAGTCCTGCTGATGCCAGGGCTTTTGATAGAGGTATTCGAAGAGCTATAGAGGATATTTCTCAAGGTGAGTTTTCTTGACTATTTTCTCAATTGGTTTATCAGCTATGTATAGTAGAGTGACTTTAAACAAGTCAGCTTTTGTGATACATGATCAGTCTTTGAAAGCACACTGCAGGTGAAAAAGATACAATAATAGTCTCCTTAGTCTGTTTTATATTTGCATATACCAATTACATGTATTATCTTGAGATGTCCATCAATAGCAGCCTTCAGATAATTCAAATGATTTAAAATAAGAGCTTGAAGAAGAGGGCAGCAGTCAGGTACAACTTTCAAAATTGTGTGTGTGTGTGTGTGTGTGTGTGTGTGTGTGTGTGTGTTATATCAGCCATATCCTGGTTTCTGTAATGATAAAGAGAAAATTTCTAATAATCAAATATATGTAGACTCCAGTTATTTTGTGGTAAAACCCTTCTCACTTTATTTGATTTTATTATTGAGCATTGGCAGAGACCACAACCCCAACTGTTACTTTGTATATCTTTCTGATCTGTTTAGATTATTAACTCTAAAGGTTACAGGTTTTAAAGGGAGAAAGAATATATTTGCATGTAAGTCTGGCCTCTACTTAATTAAAAAGAAATCACATTAGAACCCATTTCTTCCCCCAAAGGAAGTCATAACTGAGACTTGATTTGTTTTTCTAATTAACTAGGAATATTAAATCTATTGATAGAAATAACTTCTATATAAAGAAACTGAATCAAAATGTTCACAACATTGTGATTTGTATATTTTGAAAACAGCACTTTAAGAGGAAAATTAGAAGAAATGAACTAATGAGACAGACCATAGGCAAGAACATGGAAATGCTTAGTACAAATCTGAATTGATAGTGCAAGAAACTGTGGTTAAATAATATATTTAGCTACTTTAAAATATTAGGGTTTGGTAAACAAATACCTTTGATTTCCAGTTCCAAAAAAGTTCCGTGAAATGACAGCAGTCATTTTATTTTCATTACAAAAGCCCATAAATTCTCCCTAGATCAGTGTTCTCAATGTTGGCTGTGCATTTAAATCACCTGGGAGGCTTTTGAAAATAGAATAGCTGGTTCCCACTCCAGATCACTTGAATTAAACTATCTAGAGAGTGGAGCTGAGACATTTTTTATTTTATTTTTTTATGTTTCTAGACTTATCAAATGTGATGAGGAATTGTTATCCTAGTCGATTGATTATATTATGAATTTAAAAAAACAAATGAGGACTACAGATCCTCAGATTTTCCAGCAGAGGCTATGGTTTTTCAAACCACTGCAAGAAACTTAAAGATGCATGATGCCCTATGCTTCCTCACCTCACAGAGATTTCTGACGTTATTGGCTTGGTACAATGTCCTCATAAGAATATACTTCTTTTACTAGGATCAAATAGATTGGGTTTAATGTTTAAAAAGACTGTTTATAAGGAGAAACTTACAAACTCTTAGCCAGGTAGAGTAGACTGCAATATCCAACCTGTCTTGTTATTTTTAAACACTATTTGAAATATACTGGTTAGCATTATTATCAGTCATTGTAAACTTTCAACAATCCCCTTAAATTTCTCTCACTTAGCTTTCTGTGACACTAGGAATAAACTATGCAACCCTTTCCAAAGGGCAGATTTCTTATCTCCATGCCAGCTCTGTCTCTCAAGGGTAGCATAAACTCAGAATACTTTGCTAAGACAAATCCCTCCTTAAGTTATTGGAACTAAAAGTTCTCTGGAACATAATGAAAACATATAAAGAGACATTGATGCACAAAGGTCAGTAGCAACCACTGGCCACTGACTATCAATGAATTAAGGCTCATTTATTTTTTCTTATTACTAATGTAACTAAAATCCTACTTCTGGGTACTAAATATTGTTTCCTGGGTTAGAGTATTTAGAAAAATGGAAGAAATCATACATGGGCATCACCTAAACACCACAGAAGTGTGGGGCGTATACTCTACCTAGCACTTTGAGCATTTCGGAGAAATCAAGAAGCAGGGCTTGCTAGAAGCAGTACACTTTGACTTTAGAAAACATCTCTTTAGTAAGTAACTGGGAATTTACCTACAGAAGAGGAAAGCAATCACTTTATTCTCTATTCATGTAACAAAGGGGCAAGTGTGAGTGCCCATCATTAAAATCTAAGACAAAAATTCTATGTTAATTATCTTTTACCTATTTTCTTAGGATGCCCAGCGTTAAAAAATGAAACCGAAGGAGCAGAAGATGACTTACAAGTAAGTAGTTTGGCTTGAAAGGAATTTCTAAGCATAAAGGATACAGAGGAATGACTAGCTTTAATTAATAAACAACTCATACACTTTTAAGAAAATGTCTGTGACACTGTGTTTGTCAGGAAATACAGAGAAACAGAACTAACAGGATGTACATATGTATGTGTGTATGAATGTACATATTAGAGAGACAGAGAAGGTTGTTTTGGTTTGGAATGCTTTGGGTGTGTGTGTAGGAGAGGGGGGTGTTGTTTCTAAGGAATTGGCTTGTGATTGTAGGAGCTGGCAAGTTCAAAATTCGCAGGGCAGTCAGGCATACTGGATGATGTTTTGGTCTTCAGTCAGAAGGCAGTCTTGAGGCAGACTTCATTTCACTTTGGTGGAATCTCAATCTTTAAGTGTTTTTATAATAAGGCCCACCCACTTTATGGAGGGTAACCTCCTTTACTCAGAGTCTACCGATTTAAAGTTAGGCACATCTGAAAATTACCTTCACAACATTTAGACTGGTGTTTGACCAAATAGCTTGGCAATCAAACATGTAGACTAGACAAGTTGACACTAAAATTAACATCACAGATACCCCATCCTATAGGCAAGGTACTTCTATAAAAAACTCACAGAAAAGAAATTGCAAATTGTTGATAAGCATTTGGACACCCTTCTCTTTTATCTCACACACCAGGTAGCATAAGTTAAACAAGTGACCAAAGGATTAAAAATTGGTATTAACTCATACTGTGTCTCTCCATGAGATTGACAGATTGATGCCCTGCTGGAGAAAATGTAGATTGATAGATTGTTTCTAGAAAGCAGTTTGGTAATATGTATTAAAAAGCCTCAAAAATAGAAACATTCACGCTTGTTCATCCAGTGCATCACTTTCCAGTAATCTATACTAAGGAAATAGAGATGCACAACAGTTTTTTATACACAGATTTGGTGAGTGTATAAAATATCGATAATAATGAGCTATCTAAATAGGAGAATGGCAATGGTTGAATTAATGAGGTATATTCTTGTCATACGACCATTAAAATGTTATTTATGAATTTGCTTGCAATATCTTAAGTAATAAAAACAGACAAAAGTTATATGGTGTTATCATTACTCAGCTAAATTAAATATTTTTGTTGGTTACTTCTGGATTGTGTAATTCTGAGCTACATGGCTATTTTATTAGTACTTTTCTGTATTTAAAAGTTTGCTGCAATAAGAATTAATACTTCTAAAATAATACTAAGAGAACCCAAATTTGTATGTATATGTTGTAGTAATAATCAATTAGTCATATTATAAAAGTTGTGACCTAAAGACGTGGAAAAATGCTTTATGTACTTTTTCAATTAGAATATGGAAATGTTTTTATTATATTTGAGAAATACAGCAAAGTTTTAAAAAAAATAAGCATAAATTGTTAACCATCCATGGTAACCACCATATGTATATAAAAATATAGCCTTTGGGTTTTTTTCTGTATACATAGATGTTTACATACATGTGTTGTTATGATACCATTATACCATAGTCTCATTTCTTTCCTACTTAAAATCCTAATATTTTCAGTTTAAAAATTTTTTTTCAAGTTTATAATTTTTAATTTTTTTGTTTATATGTAATTTGTTTTCAATAGATGTGTCCTAATTACCAATCTCCCTATTGTACATTCAGGAGCTCTTATGTGTGCTTCAATATTTAAATCTATTTATTTTATTGATGGTAAATTGTTATTTTAAAAATACAGTGAGTTGCGGTTAATTTGGTATAAGAAATAAGGAATAAAATGCAAAATTGCATATATTTTTTAGTGCAGTCTTTTCCAAGGTTGCATTTTGTTCTAGTATCAATCAAAATATGGAACTGGAAATGGGGAAACGTGTTCTGAATGGCTGCCTGTGATGAAAGTAAATTTGGTTAAAATTCAACTTAAAAAAGTAAACAAAGATGTGGACATCACTCATTTATGGGGTTGCCAGGAGTTGGTGGTGACTCAATGACATGAAACACACATACAAAGAAAAAGGGGAGAGATACTGAGATGCTAGCAAACATGTGAGATAAAGAGGATGTTTTTCTGAACACCCTATTTGAAAATATTTAAAAGGAATCAACATCCAGAATTAAAGCCACCAAAGGCAACTCTTAAATTTACTTTATTATTCCAAAGTTGTTGTGTGTCATTCTTATTTTGGAATAATATGTTGGAAGTATAAAGTATTCTAATTTATTTAACTATTTTATTAGGAGTAGAGTATATCTTTGTTTCATAGTTCACCTATGGACTTGGCATAAACATTTTGAAATTATTTTGAGTACATATTTACTGATTTATGTTAGTGGTTATGTCAGGTTTATACTTGATTGGTAACTATTTGCCAAGGCAACTAAAATGGTTTTAAAAGAGTAACCCATTATCTAATTTTTTAAACCCAGAAGAGGTCATGTTTATGCTATATTTGGATCATAAATGTTGCGAAGGCATTAAATATCAGAGTAGAAATCCTCTCCATTTTGAGTGTTTATTAATTCATTGAGCAAATATTTGAGCACCTATTTATTCTATTCCAACAACTAGACATTTGGTTATTTGCTGGTGGACAGCTTTCTGCTTTCAACAATTCCATATTCTCATCCATTGTAAATTAACAGGAAGATGTTTACCTTTCTATTTCCTATCTGTCTTTGAGGGGTTTCATAACACACCATTTGGATTTAAAATCATATCTTGCCGATCTTTTATCCCTGATGTTTAGTACAGTGCTGATCATATACATAGTTGGCACTCCAGAAAGGTTTTTTGAAGAAAAAACTTCAAAATTAGGATTTTTTTTTTTTTTACCTAAGCAGTGATAAGGTAGGAATGTTCTTCTTATTTGGTTTCTTTTTTTGACTATTTTAATGAGCCAGTTAAGGGTTTGTTTATTTGTTTTTAATGCTAGCTTATATTTGTTTTAAGATCATTTTTACAGTGTCTTTCTAACTGAAATTGTCAGTTTTAATACCTCTAATTTTTTAGATATGCTAGATTATTGGTAACAAGACCCATAAAACTCACCTCACGACAGATTTGAGGTTATAAGTGAAAAAGATCTCAGGTTTCATGCTTTGGGGCAGAAGAAAGATGACACCTAATTGATCTGAAGTGGAAAGTTGTCATATTTTTTCTTTTGGCTACTGAGAAGTACTGACTAACTTGCTCATTTTTAAAATTAGGTAATGTCATTTCTGAGCCAAAATGATTAAAAGGTCTGTGACTTATGTTTATTGTTTAAAGTAATTTTGCTTTAGGCAAGGGGGATATAAATTGTTCGTATACTAGTTTTTAGACATGGTAACATTTTAATAAGGCTCTAGATATTAAAACTAAATTAGTGGGTAGGTTTTATTTAGCTATAAAATGGATTTTATATTACTGTGACTTATCACCATCCTACATTGACTATCCTGTAGTTAAGTTCCCAAAATCTTACTACATTTTAGATTGAGTTTCGTTTATTATCTAATAAGGGAGCAAAAAAAACCCTATAATCTTTTTGCATGATGTTTTATCATTAAAGTTTTTCTTGACTCTTAGACTAACACATTTTCATGTAGAATATTTGGATAGTTAGAAAATTATGACGAAGAAATCAGGAATCGTTTATCCCCAGCCAGACATAACTGCTATTAATATTTTAGGTACTCCTGCCTAGGTGCGTAGCTTGTTCGTTTTATTCTTGCATGTTGTATTTAAATACATACTTTTTAAAAGCCCCATTAGGATCAATCTCTTTTACATTTCGATTGTATTTTTGATAGGATTTTTATTTGTGTTGGTGCTGGTCGTGATGGTGGTGGTTGGAATTTAAGTGGTATAAGTCATAAAATTTGACCCACACTGTCTGACTTCACAGTTTTTGCATTTAACTACTATATCATGTAACTGTACTACAGTTTATTTAACCATTCACATTTCATTGAACATTTACTTTATTTTCCACAGCTTTTTACATTAATTTTTGTTGGTATTTCTAAGTGTAACCATAGGATAAAATCCTAGAGATAGATTTGCCAGTTAAAGGATTGTATAAAGATTTATATAGTTATCAGGAACTATGTAACTACTACTGCCTATTAACTCAAACAGATTTACAGACAGTAAACAATTCCCTGAAAACCCAATACCACTTTTAAGACAAACTAAACTTTCATTAGAGAGGTACTTTAGTTTTTCTGTCGATTAATCTAGGGTAGAGGACATGTTTTTCTTTTCTTTTTTTGCTGGACATTATATCTTGGTACATTTCTCATATTTCTTATTGTTTCATCACCAATTACTGTGTTCAGGTTGCTTAAACAAAATACTATGTATGCTATTAGTGTTTTTCATACAAAGCTCATAGACAAATGCAAAATTAAAAACTCAAGGGTTAGTTTAGTCTTATCCTTAGTAAGAAACTAATCAATGGTTGGCCGAGTGGCGCGATGGTTAAGAGCTGGCTTGGGACACCAGAGGGCCCCGGTTCGGATCCTACATATGAGGGCCAGTGACACTGCCCTCCACAGCTAAGATGCTGAACAACAACTCAACCTGGAGCTGGGCTGCCATGAGTCGCC